TTGAGTTTTGGGTTTGAGGTTTTTTTCTTTTTTTTTTTTTCTTGGTTGCATCCAAGTGCTTTGTTTGAGGTTTGATGTCTGATTCTGAGCTGTGAATTGACATGCATGAAATAGAAAAGTGGTCACTGAATTTTGTCTCAAATTACAATTCACAGTTGTGTAAATGTGATGTTTTCCTAGGTAAAGATTTTTGGATTGTCATGAATGTTATTTAAAAATGGGTGGAGCCTGGAACACTTAATTCTAGGATGTGAGAGCTTTTGGGAAGTGGAGGAAGCAAGATGAATTGCGATGCTGATGTTTCTGTGAACTAAATCTCTAACAGGTTCATAGACATTGAAAAAAAGGAACTCATAGGATGTGACATCTGTAGTTAGAGGAGCGAAGCTGTCTACAACTTTTTTTCTTGTACTTCTAAGAGTCCATTTTGAAAAGGCACTTTCAGTTGGGAAACCAATTGTGCGGTCAGAAACCTGTTGCCATCAGACAGTATCAATCTAGTCTAAATTTCTTAACTGTTCCAGATGCTTCCAGTGACCTATTCTCACCTCCAGATAGCATGTCATCTCCTCTCTCTAGCGTTGGTGCCTCATAGAAGTCAGTAGCTGCTGTAATACCTTGACATGATATGTTTCTAGCAAAGGTGGCTTCTCTTTTTAGTTAAAAAAATATGCTGTTTGTATACTTGGTAATTGTTGTTGTTCTTAAGATCTATGTGTTTCTCTGCTAATGAGAGGCCCATGTTCACTGTGTGCCCCGAGTCCTGTGTGGTGCCGGGATGGATGGAGTCTGTCTTTCATAATAGACTTGCTGTGGGTGCAGTTCAGTGCTGTATCGTACTGCAGAGACTCCCCGCTTTCTCCTCAGTCCTTTTCTAAGGCTCTTGCAGGTGTTTTTGCTTTTCTTTTCTTGACACTTTCTTGTCCTCTTACCTATCAGTTCTCCAGGTTATTTTCCTCTGTCTGGAATGTCCAGACAGAAACGCTCCCTTTTTCTGCTTCAGCATTTTGGCTGCTATGATGTTAATGTCCCTTGAGAAAAGACTCTGCAGTAGAAATGTCTAGAAAAGGACCGCTCCAATGTTGTCTAATTTCTGCCATCAGACAGAAGTTCGCTTCAGGAACAATAGGGAGGAAGATGCAGTCTTCTGATGGCACAGGAGGGACGAAAGTGGAAAGGCCGGATGTGTGGCTTGGGAAGGTTGGCAGCAGAAGGCAGACGGGGATGGCAGCAGTTGTTGGGCAGGGGGTACACTCCCTGATGGTGTGCTCAGCTTTGGGAGGGTGTAGCTGGGGCAGGGATTGTCTACAGGAATGCAGGCCATGGGCAGAATTCTTGGGGACCAGCACGGATGCGTGAAATGTTGGTGGTGAGCCTTTCTCAGTGTGCCCGCTGTGTGACCGTGCCTGGCTGTTCTGTAGGCACCTCTGCTCTTGGCTTCATCTCCTCAGAGCTGTTAGAGCGGTCCCCCTTCCCCTGGGGACATACTGTGGTCATTTCCTATGGCCCACAGTGGTTTTGCCCGCTGTCCAGTAAAGTGTTGGAAGTAGTACAGAGTAATACATGTGTATGGAATCAGTGGAGGAAAAAGTGGGTAGGTCTGTGGGTAGAGCAGAGCTGGGTCGGGCAGAGGGGTCCAGTGGAGGTGATTTCCCAGGAGGGAGGATGTGTCAGTGCTCTTTGGCACTGCAGCCTTTGCCATGGATGGTAGCTTGTTCAGGACTGATTTCCATCCCCCTTGAGGAAGAGGGGAGAGACTGATCCTAACCTGCAGCCTGGTGCTCCTCCACAGTCTCTTTCACAACACATAATGGCTTTGTACCACATTGAAAGACATAATACTATGCTATAGTATCAAGACTTTTTTTTTTAATGTCAGTATTGTGAAAAATTCAGTGTATTGTCTGTCACAGTCTTGTCTTACATGTGTTTGAGAGCAAAATAAGCTTTTAGAGTGCTTGTGTGTTCTCCTTTTATAAAAGTTTAGATGGAGAAAGCATTTCTCTATCTTGGCAGTCTCGTGGGCTTGCAGCAGGGAGATGCAGTTGCATAGTGAATAATATTTTATCTATGGTGATATTGGAGATAGGAACATGAGAAAGGAGGGGAAGGATGAGGCGGGGCAAGGGCTGAGATTGAATATGCTTTTCTTAGAGCTGCCTCCTTTTTCTCAGTTTTGTCCTTCACATTTTTCTGTTTCGATACATTACAAAGGGGACTGAAGGCAGTTCAAAGATGTCAGACCTAGATCGAGAGTAGATTTGGCTTGCTGGCTTGTTCCCCAGGCCCTAGGTCGTCCTTTACAGGGGGGAGGAGTGGACCTGCGCCTGATCCCTGTGGCCAGGCGGCCTCCGGCAGGGATGAACCGAGGTGGCTGTGCCCGGGACTGTCAGATGTCCCTGGCTGAGTGACAGGCAGCAGCGGGCCCAGCGGTCTGCTTGTGGCTGGAAGGGGGCCACAGTGTGTGGATTGACAGACAACAGAGAGATCTTAAACACCAGCCCCAGGAGAAAGCCTTTTCTGGGCCGTTGTTTGCTGTGGGCGGGGGCGGGGTGGGGGAGGAGGTGGGAATGGGGGGAGCTGCTCTGCTCCAGCGGTTCTTGTAGCGCCATGTTTATGGGAGAAGATGTTTCCAGCTCTGCACAAAGCCTCGGTTTTGCCTCTTTGCTGCCTCCTGCTGCTCCTCTGGTCGGTGACCATCCCCACAATCGGTTTCCTATGCCAATACTTGCTGGATTCACCTCCTAAGCGCCCTGTGTTGGTCCCTTTCCAGCCTCAGCCTTCCTTCTCTTTCCGTACCAATTATAGCCATTGATTCTTTGCTGATCATTCATTTCCCTTCTTCCTTTTCCAATTTCCTTCATGCATACAAGTGCAAGGAATATCTAAGACTTGTGATGATCAGGGAGGGCACTGAGCTGGGGCTTTGGGGATGACAGTGAATTTGTAGATGGAGGTCCAAATTATATTTAGAATTATATGTTATTATGATATATAATTATATATTTGTAAATGATAAAAGGATGAAACAAATGTAAAATAACCTATGTTTTAAATTTTTATTTTATTTATTAATGATAGAAAACCCATTTTTATTCCCACCTCCCAAGGGACTGTCCTGCATACCCCTTGGGGCGCACGCACCTCACTTTGGAGACCAGCAGTGTACTTCTCCCAAGGGCTTTAATTGTTGATAACTCAGAGAACTTTCTGAACCAAGTGTGTTTTCCATGTTATTAGAAGCCCTTTGGACAGGGGTGACTGCCTGCGGATTTGCAGACTCCCTTCTTTGGGTTGTGTGTGAGCCTGACCGCTGTGGCCGCCTCTGATGGAGGTAGTTTGTTATTCTGGAGGGGCGGTGAACAGTCAGTCCCCAGCTGCCCTCTCTAGGCCACTCCTGATTTTGCACAGCTCTAGCAAATGCCCGCTTAGATTACCTTGGATCACCTCTTTCCAGATGGAAAATCATAGTATATTTACTTACACCTGTGCAGATGCAGTTCTCTATCTTAATCATTTCTGTGCCATTCTTTTTTCAGATCTATTTACCATTACTGAGCTGCAGAAACCAGAACTGCACACTGCATTCAGCATGTGGGCAAACCATGGGCAGTGGCACAGTGATGCTCTCTATTCTCTTCCTTGTTGTTTCTTTTGTTTAATGGCTTTTTTTGACCTCTAGCACGCAATGAACCGATTTTGTTTTTAAGTGTCTGTTTAAACTCCAAGATCTTGCTTCTGTTGGGCAGCAGTCAGCTCGGAGCCTGTTGTTTTGGATGTGATGATTGTATCATTTTTTCCTGTGTAATTCACTTAAATATGTATTGAAAAATTGAATTTGTCATCTTCCTTTTAAGTGCTTATTCTGTCTCATAAAGTCTTTCTGCAGTTCTTTGAAGCTGGCCTTCATCCTTGCCAACTTGAATAACTTAGTATTACCAACAAACTTTTTCACTTCCTTGCTTTTTTGCACTCTTTTTTTGGTTCCTTTTCCTTTTTCTCAGGTTGCTTATGAATATGCTGAAAAGCTGGACTCTCAGCAAAACTCTGCCTGTGCCTTCCTTTTATTTTCAGAACCAATTACTTTTACCTCGTTTCTCTTCATTTTTTTTGGTGTATGATTATTCTTATTCACATACTGGTTCAAATGCCTGTAGGGTGTGTGTGTGTTGTCTGTATTTTCACGTATACATAGACATATAATAAATGTCTTGGTAATTCTTAGAATGAAGCTTACGTTTTACAGAGAATAATTATTTTACTGGTGTAGATTTTTCGGGTTTAGAATTGAGTTTACTGTGTGTCCTGTACAGCATTAAGTTAGGGATTTGACCCAAAGTGGTTCTCCAGAGCACGCTGAAATCAACGTAAATGTCTGGACTTCAGAAGGCCTACACGATCTACTGACAAACTACCACATTCCTTTTATTTTTTAGTTAGTTTTAGAGGCTTGATCAGAGACATGACCTTTTCTTGTAGGATTCGTGTCACTTTATGAACTAACACTGTGCTCCAGTGTAGGTGAAGGAGAAAGCTCTTAGTGGAGAATGTTTTCATGGTTCACCTTTGCTTGTTGCAGTCTCCCTGCTGATCGAGCCTGATGGTTGGGGCAGGGTCTGAAGCACTGTAGATCTGAGCTTGCTGTAGCTTTGGTTGGCTGTGAACAGCACTGATTCGGACTGTCATGGAGTTTTTTCTTGGGTCTGTAGGTAGAGCTTTCTGCTGTGAGCTGGCCTGGATATGGTATTGACCACTGAGTGTTTTCCCAACCCTAGTATTTTTCATCCCTGTTTCCTGTCTACTTTATCACTGGATTCCTCTTTATGAAGTCCAGGAAATACCAGTCCAGAGCTCATGTGCTCCATGTTGGTGCTTAGTGCTTATTGGGGTGTTCAAAATGGGGAACTTGCTGGAGCCAATGTCCCTTTGTATACAAATGTATCTGCGGCTGAAGAAACAGGGACCAAATGTCTCTTCTTTCTGTTTCGCTTCTTCTCTAGCGACCTGGGATGCCATCAGGAGCTCGAATGCCCCATCAGGGGGCTCCAATGGGTCCCCCAGGCCCTCCATACGTCGGAAGCCCCTCGGTGCGACCGGGGATGCCCCAGGCTGTGATGGAAACCACAAGGAAACGTGCGGCACCCCAGCAGGTCCAGCAGCAGCAGGTCCAGCAGCAAGTACAGCAGCAGCAGCAAGCCACTCAAAGCCGGACTCGGAGGTGAGTGTCCCAGACAGAAAACCTGGGAGGATAATCTGAGGGAGAAAAAAACGTATCTCCTTAGCAATAGGTAAGACCTTTAAGATCAAATGAGACAGAAGAGTTACATATTTCTGAAATATGTTTCTGAAAGGAAAAACATTGATATACCTTACTTTTTACTTTGTTTGTGAATGGCCTTGAACAAACTGACTTTTACTAATGTCTGGTTTTGCAGTTATGCTTTTATGTTGCAAGTTTATCAGGCTATAAATCTGGCTGTTATATTTAGCCTGTAAGTTAATGAACAGTTCTCCTGCTAATATAGTGCAATTATTATATTATTTATTGTCTGTTCTGTATAGTTTCTCTGATTTCTGCCTGGCTAACAAAATGGTTTGCAAATGAGACAAGTGGAAAAAATTTTTGATTGGTCATGTGAATGCTTACACTATGGTCACTCAGGAGAGTGGTCATAAAATTTGAAACTGTTACAGGCATTCCTACATATAGAGTAAAAATATGATCATAGGGAATAATTTCATAAAATTAGAGGGATTTGTTTAAAGGAACTTTCTTTTAAAAAGATGCCTACTTTGTATAGTGCTGAATGCACTCTCTCTTAAATAACAGTTTTCTGATTTCTCTTTGCAACTTGTTAGATCTCAGCAGCCTTGAGTTCCAAGTACCCAGTTACTGATAAAAACACAGGGCGTAGTCATCTGGGTCGTCTACTGTTCTGCAAAATCATTATAGGTATATATATATAGATTCAGACAGTGTTCTAGTAGTGTCATCATATCTAGTTGTAGGTAAAACATGACTCTCTAAGGTCAGGGTTTCAGAAGCCCTCCTCCGTCCAGGTTACATGCCTTGAATCAGCAAGCCGGACTGGGGGGTGCTTATATCTGGGATGCATCTGGAAAGGACACTAATCCTGACAGTATTAATAAATTCCATTTGAATACAGAAGGAATGTGTGTGAGTGCAGCACATGAGCACAAGAGATGCATGGAGGCCTTGCCCAGCACTACCAAAACGCACATTCCACAGCACCTCCCAGGAGGAACTGCACAAAATAATGCCCAGCCTTCAAAAATGCAGGGTAGGTAAAAGCTGAAATAATTGCCACTGCTGGATAATTAAGGTAAACCTTAGTCACTAGCTAGTTTCCAGGGGTCATTATAGAATATTTTCTAAAAGTTGATGGCCCAACTCACAGAAGAAGGCAGTTCCCCCTCCCCAGTTCTTAATTTCAGTGCTGTAGTATGGAACCCAGTAGCAGTTGATGCTCTACAGAGTCCAGCTCACACTGGTGCTTCCCAGGTACCCAGGAAAGTTTCTCATTTTCTTCTGACATGCCTTCCTTCTGGATGATGTGTTGAATGTTTTCCCCTTGTTCATTTCTACCACCCTGTTGTTTCCCACTGAAAATTTTCTGTGTTTTCAGGCAAACTTTTCTGGCACCTTGGGTCCAATTCTGGAAGTAAATGAGTCCTAAGTTTTATGGCACAAACAGACCAAGAAGGTGTAGTCGTCCTTTCTTGGCAGGTTTGGTGGGGACAAAGATCTCATTTCTGTAACAGACTATTGGAGAATTGATTGAGACCCAAGTTGTTCTGAGTTTTTGGTTTGTTTGTTACTTGCTTTTTGATTGCAAGCCTTTGGGGCTGTTGCAGGGCCGTGCATATCCTGTTTCCCTTTGGAAGGATGGAGCTTGCTCAGGCATTCCTTCGGTGGAAGGTTTCAGTGCAGATTTGATTTTGTGAGCTGTGGAAGGTGCTGGAGGTTCACACCATGTAACATTCCAGTCCCATTACTCCTATGCTTTTTAAAAGGGATGTTGTTCACCTGTGAAGTTGTGTGTGACTGTGGGGATGGAAGGGTGTAGTTTGCGCCTCTGGGCACAAAGAGTTGGCTTATATGGGGATGGGGAAGACTGATATTTCAGGCCAGGCGTAAGCCTACATATTAGCATACCCAGGAAGGGAGTTTGCCACATGGATGTGTGTGGAAACAGCTTCTACGTGGACATGGCTGATGACAGACTTCCTGTATGAAAGCAGTGAGGAGGGGCATCCTTGACATGGCAGAGTGGCAGCAGGCAGCTTCCTCCCTTCCTCCCGTTTGTCTGTCACAGATGGAGTGATTCATCTCCTGCTTAAGATAAAAGCCTTGCAAAGTACAGAGAGAGGTGAAGAATAAGGCCTGAATTCCCTCTTGGCCCTGTTAGAGAAAGCTAGGTGACAGGCTTGGTGGGCACAAACAGTTCTTAGAATCTGAAGAATTCAAAAGACAATGTATTTGGCAGTTTTCCTGACAGCACCATTTCTTAGGCATGTAACACCTTTATGTGTGTGTACACAAACACAAGTATGTTTTCAAATGCATAGATATACAAATGTGCTAATGTATGGGTATGGACACATTATGTATATATGCTGCAGGGACACATCTGTCTTCCCGCTTGTGCATTCATAAAGATGAACAAGCACGGAAACGTAAGCCCGCTTACCTTTGTATATCACTCACGCAAAGGTATTGTTACAATAAAACAAGTGTGTATATATATGTGTGTGTTTTCATACATCATATGAAATACACCCAGTTTCGGGCATGAACGAATGAGCGCACGTCATCTGTTTGAACAAGTTCACATTCTGTTTACAGGCACTCAGCCACTTCCATGTGCACACACATGGGTGCATCCACACACACTCGCACACTGTCCTCCTCCTACATGCCTTTTCTGCATCTATAGAGAGCATGTGCACATGCACTTGCATACATTGCCGCCCTGCACCACAGAAGATGCTGTGATCAAAGAACTTGCACACTTCTTTCCAAGATGCATAACAGACAGCCCTGGTTTGTTCTGAGCTAACTGCCTCCCCGGCTGCTGAGGGAAGGGGTCCTGGGTCCTGGCCATGGGTGAGACCCTTCTGCTGATGCATGCACAGCTGTGCACCAGCATGTGGAGATGTCAGGATAATTTAGCAGGTGGCCTCGTTACTCCTAGATCTGTCACCATGGTAACGTGTTTTTTTCTTTAAAAAATGTACAGTGCCAAGAGGAGGAAGATGGCTGACAAAATTCTCCCTCAGAGGGTGAGTCGCTTTCATTTCCTATTCCCTTCACAATCAGTTCAGCATCTTATTGTAATTAGAGGGATTTTAGAAAATACTTTCACTTTTTGTTTAAACATCTAATTAAAAAGTAAGTAGGCAGTGGGTGAAAGTCTGGAGCGCAAGGCTGGAGCTGGGGCTGGGGCTGGGAGCTGGGGGTGTGGAGCAGCCTGGCCCGTGTCCTCCTCCAGCCCTGGCTTTGTCGAGCCACCACTGCCACTTGCTGGATGGACAGTGGTGCTGGGCTGCCAAGCACACGCCTGCACGCTGGGGCCCTCTGCCTCGTAAGGATGTTTTTGATCAATTTTTGAGGCTGGCCAAAAGCTGGTTCAGAGCACAGCTGTGCCTGTGGGAGATGGGCTCATTCTCAGGTCTGTCTGGCACAGTCGAGCTACCAGGTTCTGATTTTCCTGGTTGTGTCCTGATAGGACTGAAGCAAACCCATGTAAACAACAGAGTTCAAGGGGCCTGCATTGTCCGGAGAGTTGTTTATTCTCTTGTCCCTGGGGATATGTCTAGCTTTTAGTGTCTGCCTATGCTTGATCCTCAATGCTTAAATCTTCTATTTCCTTTTTAAACATGGGAATTTATGCTCCCCTTCTCCTTCATTATTGCTAGACTTTTCCTTTCCTGTGCCCTCTTCAGGACAGTTCTCTCCAAATCTACTTGGTTGGTCCCAAAAGGCAAGCTTCCATAGTCTTCAAAACACATGCCCTTGTCACATCCTCATCCCAGTTTCTTTGACTCCTGGTGCTTTTGGTCCACCTCTCCACTGCTAGTGTCAATTCAAACTTGCTGTCAATCCCCTGATTCTCCTCTGTGACATTCCACAGGTACCTGGTGCCAGTCACCTGAGGAGGTGAGCCCACTTTTGGTACTCCAGATGCCATATTAACACTTCTTTTAATTCCTGCCACCCTCTAAAAGCACAACCTTTCATAGGTTAGGCATTAGTTCTCTTGCTGCTGCCTTGAAAGGACTAAGCTACCGTTAAATCCAGACCTTTGAACTACTTGCAGCCTCCATCGTGTTTGTGTTAGAGCTTCATTCCTGCTCTGCTTGGAGGCTGTACTTTCTTAGAATGAAACTTAGGTTTTTTGTGCTGTCAGTTCTGTCTGTCCCACACAAATTCTTTTCACAAGCAATTATACATCTTGTATGGTGAGGCTATTGCTTTAAATATATGTCCATTTCAAGGCTTGTTGTTGTGTGGGGTTTTTTTTTGTCTGTTGCATTTACAAAATAAAAAGATCTCAGAACAGAGGTAACCAAACTTCTTTCGACAACAAAAGACTTGTGCCTTTGTTTATCAAATCCATTATAATTCTTTAATAGGTCTACCTATTCAAGCATGTCAAAAACCTATACAAATGCTAGCACCTTTCAGAATCATGCTTGGTTCTGAAAAGTTACCGACTCTTCTTGTCTTTCAGTATTTTTGTTGCTGTTAGCCAATAGTTTTAACCAATAGAGTGTTAAGGCAACACAAATCACTAGAGTTCTGTCTTTAGTGGAGTTTTTATCAGTGCAGCTGTAGCGCTGGTATCGATGACAGGACACTGTGTCTGGATTAAGGTACTCCATCAGGCTGCAGTGTATCGGAATCTCCTTCCGCTCACCATTCATGCGATAGGAAAATGCTGTGTGCGTCGGTGTCCTGTCAAGTGGAAGATTTGCACTGGTGGCTGTGGAATGCACACAAAACTCAGGGTAGAACTTCCAACTTTCCAGAGCTACTTCTGGAATGTTTTCCAGCCAATCAGCATCTGTTTCCCACAGACTTTCTGCAGACTCTTGCTTGTGTTTTCTGGGAACTGTGAAGGGTAGAGGGAAAGATATTAAATACATTTTAATCTTGGAAACCATCTTACGTATCAGTGGAAAAGGAGGTGGGTTCTCAGTCTTACTTGCTGTGATAGCAATCCAAGCAGCTGACACAGATAGCCTGCTGTTGGACTTCCAGGCTTTCTGATCAAGCCTGCGCTGGAGCATATTCCTCATTGGGTAGTGTTGCTCAACTGCTACAGTTCAGCTATTTGAGAAGGATTTAATTTTGCATGGATATAATCATATGAGAAAGTTCAACCTGGCAAACTATTACATGTAGGAAGATAGGATTATGTAAGGCATTTGACACTGTCCTGCACGACGTCCTTGGCTCTAAACTGGAGAGACATGCATTTGACAGATGGACCACGCGGTGGATAAGGAATTGGCTGGATAGTCGCACTCCAAGAGTTGCAGTCAACTCCAAGAGTTGATGTCCAAATGGCGACCAGTGACGAGTGGTGTTCCTCAGGGGTCAGCACTGGGACCGGTGCTGTTCAACAGCTTTGTTGGCAACATGGACAGCTGGTTTCAGTGCATCCTCAGCAAGTTTGCCGACGACACCAAGCTGTGTGGAGTGGTCAACATGCTGGAGGGGAAAGGATGCCATCCAGAGGGAGCTGGACAGGCTTGAGAGGTGGGCCCATGCAAACCTCATGAAGTTCAACAAGGCCAAGTGCGAGGTCCTGCACGTGCATCGGGGTAATCCCAGGCACAAGTACAGGCTGGGTGGAGAATGGATTGAGAGCAGCCCTGAGGAGAAGGACTTGGGGGTGTTGGTGCATGAGAAGCTCAACATGAGCCGGCAACATGCACTGGCAGCCCAGAAAGCCCCTGCATGCTGGGCTGCATCCCCAGCAGCGTGGCCAGCAAGGCGAGGCAGGGGCATTGTGCCCCTCTGCTCTGCTCTGGGGAGACCCCATCTGGAGAGCTGCCTCTAGCTCAGAGGCCACCAACATCAGAAGGATATGGACTTGTTGGAGCAGGGCCAGAGGGGGCCTTGGAGAATAGGCTACCCAGGGAGGTGGCAAAGTCTCCTTCTCTGGAGACATTAAAAAAAGCCACCTGGACAAGTTCCTGTGCAACCTGCTCTAGGTGGACCTACTTTGGCAGGGGGATTGGACTAGATGATCTCTAGAGGTCCCTTCCAACCCCATGAGATTCTGTGATTCTGAGATGCTGGGAGGGCTGGAGCCCCTCTGCTGTGAGGACAGGCTGAGAGAGTTGGAGGGGTTCAGCCTGGAAAAGAGAAGGCTCCAGGGAGACCGTAGAGCCCCTTCCAGTCCCTAAGGGGGCTCCAGGAAAGCTGGGGAGGGACCCTTGATCAGGGAGGGGAGTGATGGGATGCGGGGGAAAGGTTTGACACTGAAAGAAGGGAGATTGAGATGAGATCTGGGGAAGAAGTTCTTTGTTGTGAGGGTGGTGAGAGCCTGGCCCAGGTTGTCCAGAGAAGCTGTTGCTGCCCCATCCCTGGAGGGGTTCAAAGCCAGGTTGGAGGGGGCTTGGAGCAACCTCGACTGGTGGGAGGTGTCCCTGCCCGTGGTGGTTTTGGGGTCGATTAGATGATCTTTAAAGGTCCCTTCCAACCTAAACCATTCTGTGAATCTAAGGCCACCGTATACTTTTTATTTTAACACCTTGGGGTTTTTTGATGAATGCTAATTTCTTGGTCTGATTTATCAGGTGACAGTAAATTTTACAGATTAATCATACACTAAGTACAATTATTTCCTTTTACATTTTGCCTTTCCATTTGATTATCAGTATTTGCTGTTTATTACACAGCATATACTGTCTAAATTAAAAACTGGGAGGTCCATAATCACATAATCTGACCTTCCACAGAACACAGTTCACAGGATTTCCATTAATTTCTTCTTATTTAATGCAGAAAATCTCCTTCCATGGCATGCATGTCTCTTAGTATTGGCTACTGTTCTTCTCACTGGGCCTCGGATTCCCATGAGGACTTTTCATATCTGCTTTCCAGCTCCTAAGAGAGGATGGTCAAGAAGATGGAGCCAGACTTTCTAGTGGAGCATGGCAGAAGAATGAGAACTAGCGAGCATAAGTTGAAACAGGAGAGGAGCTGGCAAGGAGAAACTTTATCACAACAGGACAGTCAAGCATTGGAAACCAGAGAGGTCATGGGATCTCCACCCTTGGGAGTTTTCAAACCCCAGCATAGAATCATAGAATGGTTTGGGTTGGAAGGGACCTTAAAGATTATCTCGTTCCAGCCCCCTACCGTGGGCAGGGACACTTCCCAGCAGACCAGGTTGCTCAAAGCCCCGTCCAACCTGGGCTTGAACCCCTCCAGGGATGGGGCAGCAACAGCTTCTCTGGGCACAAGTTCCAGTGCCTCGCCATCCTCACAGCAAAGAATGTCTTCCTAATATCTAATCTAAACCTACTTCATTGATGACCCTGCTTTGAGCAGGAAGGTGGACTAGAGACCCACCAACATTTCTTCAAGCTGGTATCTGTGATCCAGCTGCTGTTCCATAGAGCATCTTTAGCAGAAGTCTCCAGAAATATTGCTTTCATATGCCATCTGACTGCCTGCTCTACAGTTGGTGCTTTTCCATGCTGGTTGACTTGATCATCACTTCTCCAGTTGTTTCTTTGGCCTGTGAGCCTCAGATGTTTGGCTGTGTTGTAGACGCTGCCCAGCCACTGAACATAAAGGAGCTATTGAATTGCTTTTACTGGAACTTTGAGAGTAACTCATAAATTACTCTCCTCATAATTCTAATTCATAGATGTGATCTATAGCCTTCTTTTATGTAATTAAACATTCAAATATAAGCTTAAGAGTATTGCTTCTCTCTGCCCGTGTTAGTCTGTGCCAGTAACTGATTGTCATATGAGGGGCTGGTGAAAGACTTGCTTAACTATTGCTTGTAGTGTTGCAGGATCTTTGCATTTTTGAACAGTGTCTGCATGTGGCCATGAAATTCAGAATGGCATAGTCTCTAATTGCTTCTGTCATGTTACTGGACAATGTTATTGGCTCTGTGGTAGCCAGTCAGGAATCCTCTCTGAAGCTCTGTCTCTTAGGGATCAAGACTCACAAGGTGGCACAGAGTTACTATTTCTGAGAAGTGTCAGGCCTTAGCTGTCCTTCTCCAACCACCACAGAAGCCTCAACAGTAGAAACACTTTTGTCAATAAACTATAGGCTAAAGTTTCTTAGCAGGGAGACTGTCCAGTAGCTGATAAGTCACACTTCAGCCATTGTCACCTGTAATACACAAATGCTGGCTTCTGAACACTATTTTTGAAATGTTTAGGGTGTGTGCATCTGCTGTAGGTAGTAAAACATTGGCTCAGGTTCCAAGTGAGCTTGTCGGACTTGGATGAGCAAGAGGTCTTGGCTTTTGTTACCTCTCTCAAAATGGAAATTATTGGCTAACCTTATTCTAAGCAAGTTGCCGAATCTCCATTTATTAGTGTGTGATGATTTTTTTTTTTAAAGCAAATTGCTGAGCCTGTTTTGTTTGTCCTGCTCAGATAGTGAAGAATCCAGTTCCAATTATTATTTGCTACCTGAAATGTATGAAATTATGTTTATTATTTTTTTCTGGCACCTTTACTGATAGCCCACTTTCACTTGGAAAGAAATATCAATCTGAAGGGCACGTTCTTCTTTATCTGTTTTTTTTTCTTTATTATTTTTAGTTTAAACTGAAATTGTTATGTGAGTGACAGCACGGTGGCTGTCTGCTACAGATGGTCTCGCTGATCACGAAGGAAAGAAAGCCTTTTGTAGACATCTGGAGGAACCCCTCAAACTTACAGGGGAGCTTTAACTACCTTGACATCTGCTTTGAGGGCAGGAGCACTGGGCACAAGCACTACAGAAAATTCCTGGGTTGGATTGATGACAATTTGACACAGGTGATCAACAAGGGGAGATGCTCTGAGAGACCTGTTAACCCACAAAGAAGGAAGAACTGGTTGGGGATGTGAAGGTTAAGGGCAGCCCTGGCTGTGGCAACCATGAGATGGCAGAATTTGCTTTCCTGAGAGAAGCGAGTTAAGACCTGGACTTCAGGAGAGCTGTTTTGGCTTGTTTGGGGATCTGCCGGGAAGGACCCTATAGGAAAATGGGGATCCCTGGAGGACGGAAGGGCTCGGGGAAGCTGGCTGAACTTCAAGGACAACCTCTTCAAAACAAAGGAGAACTATCAGACCAGTGTGCACAGAGTTGAGCAGGCCTGGCAGGAGGCCAGCATGGTGAAGCAGGGAATTTTTGACAGACCTCAAACGCAAAGAGGGAGTGCATCCTGCATTGTTACGTGATACTGCTGGGGCTCCGTCTTAATTTTCCTCTCACTCTTGAGAGCAAATTAAGAAGAGTATGAAATTTGGACATTACCATGATGGGAAAAGATTATTCCAATAGTGGGGTAAGAAGTAAAAGACTCCAAGAGCAGACAAAAATGTCCTGCTTTGAATTAGCCCAGTATCCCATCTTCACTGTGACCATAACACATGCCCAGAGAGGAGTACACACACAGTCAAGTACAATTCTTCTCCCAAATACTCTCCCCACCTGCAGCTGTTTGCAGTTCGAGGAATTACATGCAGTATTATCTTTGTTGGTTGATTTTAAAGTGCTTATGCTTTCTTAACATTTTACAATGTTTAACAGTTTGATTACAGGAATGGAATAGGAAATACCTTTTCAGCTTCCGTGTGGTAAGAGATGTGAAAGTACAGAATAGAAATATTTATTGAAGATTACTACTGTTTCTACAAAATTCTTAGAAATTTCATTAAATCCTGGGTCCAGTACCCTGCAAACCAGCTGAAAGGGTGTCACAGCTGTAGTATATGCTTTATCCCGAGGACTATGTGAGAGCTGAGGGCTCCCTGCTTCATCACATGCCCGGGAGATCATGAGCTGACTGTGCTAGACCTTGGAATTAAAAGATTGAAACTATGTTCTGGGTCCAGAATTTTTAATTGACTACAGTACAGCATCATTAATTTCCTCTGTGTGGAAGGAACTGACGAATCTTTTCTTCTGTGTGGGACAGCATAAAAGCATTGGGATGTTTTGTTGGGTCCAAAGATTTGTATTTGCTGTGGGGAGGAAGAATTGTCTGTATTGTGCAAGCTGTCTAGCAACTCCTCAATGTTTCCAGGACAGTGCTTGCTTTAAGGGCTTCGCTCTTAAAAATGTTCATGTTCTTTTATTATTCTGCTGATGCTAAGACTTTGTGAAAGAATATAAGCAGTTAAAAAGACATTGGTTCAGCTAAAGCTGGAGAGAGTTTTTGACTCCATGGTTTCTGCTTCTCCAAAGTGTCAGTCCTGCTGTAAACAGAGCAGGAGTTCTGGCATCTCAAAGCAAACAAAAAAATAAATTTGTTTAAAAGGTTGAAAGAGACATTTTATAGTCTTGATCAGTCTGAATACAGAAGGGAGGAATTGTTCCTCTTCAGGCTGAAAAAAAAAAATCTGAAGAAATGGATGACAAAAACTTTTAAAACACGTGAGCAGTAAGGGAATGCCTGTCCACCACTGCCCCAGCTGTGCTAGGAGATGGCATCAGATGAAGTTGACAGATGGGAGGTACTTCAGAAGAAATCTCTGACAGATGGGAGGTACTCTCAGAAGAAATAATTTGTCTTAGCTCCTTACTGTGGGTAGAACACCGTTATTTTAAGTGACCTAGGAACTTGCCCGTGTTTAAAAGACTCACATGCATAAGTCTACAGGAAGATGTTTATTCTGAGACAAGCTCTTTAACTAGGGAATTGACCAGTACCTGAGTTTTCACCTCTCAGCTGTGCAGTGGAGATATTCAGGGGCTGTAATGGGGAAGAGTATAGGAGGCGCAACAATACACGGGCTGTTGAGGTTCTGGAACACCGTGTCTCAGGCTGTTGTAGGTACTAAAGGGCAGCAACTTCCAAATGCTGTCAGAGACACAGCCCTAGGATGGGTGGACTGTTGGGATGACCTCCTGCCATATTTCTTATGTCCTTGCAGAACACAGTGAAGGGCTGTTTGCCGGGTGTCTCTCACGCAGGTGTTTGTGTCTCGCACTGAATCAAAGCTGAAGACTTCTGATTCTAAAGTGAAACAGGAATACCAACTAGCTTTTCATTCCTATAGAACAGAAGTATTCAAACAGTAAAATATTTTAGTTATGTAGCTGAAAGCTAGAGTGAATATTACAGAAATAGACAAGGTAGTCCAGTAGATTTATTATAATTACTTACAGTTCCTTTCTTTTGTGGCTTGCCTGCATGAGTGATTCCCAATTAAGAACTAACTTTTTCGTGTAAGGGTATACTTGCCCATTTCTAAGCTCAGATTGTTACATCTTCCTCCTAACCTACTTCAAATCATCTCCTCTGCTAACTTCTTTGGAAAAGGGAAAATAGAACTGTTACTAGAACTAACGTAGTTTAGCTAAGGTATTAAAATACCAATAAAAGTTGGCAAGATTGTAAGTTGGGGCCTCGTAGCTGATCATGGTGCCACTTTGATGTGAAGGTCAATTTCACCTTGGCCAAGAAGATGTACTGACAAAGGTTGACTTCCTCAAGGGCAGCTCTTACTTATGATGGGAAACGCTTCTTTTAAAAAAGTTACCATGAACATGCACCCTTTATTTTTAGTCTAGAGAGACACAGCACTTTTTTAGTTCAAACAGGACAGATTTACTGTACTTTACATTGTCGAGAGCAATGACTCCCAGGCTGCTTCAAGCTAAGCCTCACTTGAAAAAAAGCAGCCGTGATGCAGGCCTTGTGGATCCAGCTGGTGTCTTCCAGGGTTCATTAGCTTCAGTTCTGTGCTCCAGCTTTTCAGCCATGTGCTTGTACCGTGCCACTGAAATCTGCCCTGCTAATGAGGAACTAATGTCTTGGGAATAGCTCTTTCTGAGCACATCTAAGGGCTGGGAAGGTGTCGGTGTTACTGCTCTGGAACATAGTAGACTTTTTCTTCCAGTGCTTGGATGTTCCTTGCTTCCTTCTCAGATCCGGGAGCTGGTTCCTGAGTCCCAGGCCTACATGGATCTGTTGGCCTTTGAACGCAAACTAGACCAGACCATTATGCGGAAGCGTGTGGATATTCAGGAAGCGCTGAAGAGGCCAATGAAGGTATGTAATGAAAAATTTGTAGATTGAGTTGGGGTAAAAAATGGTGGAATGATCTTTCCATTAAAAGTCCTGTTAACAGATATATTTTGGAACAGGTCAAAGAAATCTAACAGTAAGCAGCTGGGGAGCAGCATGCATGGAAAAGTGGTGGAGAAAATTCTGTGGATATTACCAGGTCTAGCTTCTGAAAGCCTTTACTAAGGGGAATAATAGCTTCTGTATAAATAAACACTGGGTTTGGAACTTTGTATTAGAATGGTTAAAAAGAAAACAATAGGAGATTAGAGGGGTGTGCTGAAGAGATATATTAAATTTCCTATTAGAATTCAGTCGAAAGCTAAACTTGTGCAATAACAAAACATATACTGGGAAGAATTACTTACAGAAAAAGTGTTAAAGATCCTGCAAAAATGTACATGTTTACATAGTCTGTAAAAGGATGATTCATGTAAGAAAAGAAAGAATAGCATTTTCTGTGATTTCTATTAGATCAAGTCCAGCACTTCACTGTTCATAATGGCCTACTGTAATGGTCTTTTCCTAAGTTTTCTGAGTCTATTCAACTGAATCATGGAAAAGTTTAGGTAGGAGGAAACTATGGAAGTTATCTAGTTGAACCTCCTGCTCAAAACAGGGTTGTCAAGGCCTTGTTGAGTTTTTAAAATGTCTAAAGATGGAGGTTTCACAACTTCTTCAGGCAATCTATTTGAATGTTTGGTAACTCTCATTGTGCAGAATTTCTTTTCATGTCTTACTTAAGTTCTTGTGACTGTATTGATTGCTCTTACTTACTCATATAGTAAATCTTGTAGTATGAAGAGTTTTGTAGCTGTATGTCTACTGTGAAGTAAAGCTGTCATTCTTGTCTTTACCACAGTAATGGGTATCAGCCCAACTAAGATCAAGATTCCACTCTGTCACTGTACAGGTATCTGATAAGATGTGGAAGGCTTTTACCTATGATGTTTTTCCAATTTGAATATATGCAACATAAAAAAGAAAGAAAGAAAAAAAACAGTAAAGTTCCATGGATATATCTATTTTATAGATAGGAAATTGAAGTAAGGATGATTTAAATCACAAGTTTGTAGGAAAAAAATCTTGTGTATAATAGATTAGACTCTCAGAAGAAATAATTTGTCTTAGCTCCTTACTGTGGGTAGAACACCGTTATTTTAAGTGACCTAGGAACTTGCCCGTGTTTAAAAGACTCACATGCATAAGTCTACAGGAAGATGTTTATTCTGAGACAAGCTCTTTAACTAGGGAATTGACCAGTACCTGAGTTTTCACCTCTCAGCTGTGCAGTGGAGATATTCAGGGGCTGTAATGGGGAAGAGTATAGGAGGCGCAACAATACAGAAACTGTAGTCAGAAAATTCTCTTTCCGTCTAGGGCTCAGCAAAAACATTTTAAATATTAGTTACTCAGCTAGTTAACATCTAAAGAATGATCTTACAGATGTTTTTTGAATTCATGTCTAGACTTAGCATGCAGCAGCTGTGAAATTCAACACCTGTCAAAGTAAAGCTAAGACTAGATAAATTTGGGTTGTTCTGATGTTAAATATTTTCATTTTGTTACAGTTGGAGCATTGGTAACAGTAATAAAAATTATCTCTACATTTAAATCTCTTATCAAAGCTCTTGTAATTCTGAAGTATTGCCCTAAAACAGTGGTTCCCAAACTGGGATTATAATCCCAGGAAAAAATTCAATTTGTCTGAGGTATGTGATAGTATGTAGGAAATATGCAGGACTGCTCAGAATTATCAGTTATAATGGTAGTTATCATATTGGTCACAGCGACTGACTTGTAGCTGGCAACAGTCTTTGGGGACCGCACATTTATGGTCTAGTATTGCTCAGGCTGGTCTTTTGTGCCTGAAGACTAATTATTCTGGAAAAAATTTAGGGGGAGATGTTTCAGCCGCTTTGGATTGAGGGTAGTGCATAAAGTGTGCTGGGCCTACTGATGCTACGAGGACCTTCTGTGAAGAGCTGCGCTGTTGGGACAGATGACAGCAGTGGGATTGCTCTCTGAGCAAGGAGACCTTGGGGCTGAAATGGGGGAAATGGCCTTCATCACCCTCTAGCTCATTTTGCCACTGTCACCAGCCCCTCTCAGCTGCCAGCTTTTCCAGTCTAAGTCCTGCCTCATCTTTTTTCTGCCTGTTGGGTACTGGTGTGTTTTCTCCTCTTCTGTCAGTCCTGCGTTCTTGGACTGCATCACTCACGAGAGTCTCAGAATTCCTTGTCTGCAGAGCAGCATTTAGTGCATGCCACTCATCGCAAGAGCCCTTGCACTGACTTTATGAAAGACTCATCTGCTGAGTGCTCAGAATTCCAGAAGGGACTTTTTTTTGGAAGGAGTCAGGCGGACAGGGCTGTTTGACTGCAGTGTGGCCACAGGTACAGATATAGCAAGCTCCATGGCCTGAAGGAACTGGAAACCATATGGCTCAACTCCAGACGAGTAGGTGTCATTAAAGAAGAATGCATTACTGAAAATCTGGACAGCTAGAGCCACAGTGGACTTTGGGAGTGGGATTTATTTGGTTAAGTATAGATATCTACATTTTTTATGCATAAGCTAGTCACTCTGGGGCCCCTTTATAGTTGAGAGATTTAGTCAGTGTAGGCAACGGAGTTCAAGGCACAGTTCTTCTCATAGAGAAAGTACATACTGAAAAGAACAAATCATGCCCTAAAATGTGCCTGTTTCTCTCTATTGTCTAACCCTGAGATAAGTAGTCAGTTGTGGACATAAACATAATTTTAAGACTGAGATGATTTTCATCCCAAGATCTGAACCAGGGGTCACCTGGCTGAAAGAAGGGCATCATGTCCAGTTCTGGGCCCCTCAGTTACAGAAGGACAGGGAACTGCTGGAGAGGGTACAGCAAAGGGCCACAAAGATGATTAAGGGCCTGGAGCATCTCTCTTATGAAGACAGGCTGAGGAACTTGGGTCTTTTTAGTCTAGAGAAGAGAAGGCTGAGCGGGGATCTGATCAATGCTTATAAATACTTAAAGGGAGGGAGTCAGGAGGACAGGGCTGGTCTTTTCTCACTGGTGCCCAGTGACAGGACAAGAGGAAATGGGCACAAACTTGAGTATAAGAAGTTCCACCTAAACATGAGGAGGAACTTCTTCACTGTGAGAGTGGTAGAGCACTGGAACAGCCTGCCCAGAGCGGTGGTGGAGTCTCTTCTTTGGAGATATTCAAAACCTGCCTGGACAAAATCCTGTGCAACCTGCTCTAGGTAGACCCGCTTTGGCGGGGGGGTTGGACTTGATGATCTCGAGAGGTCCCTTCCAACCCCATATGATTCTATGATTCTATGATCTAGTGACTACCCCACAAGCCAGGCTCCTACTCCAAGCCCTGGCACCACAGACGATCCTTGGTCTCTCCCAAACTGGAGACTGCTGCAGGGACTGTCACTTTCACAGTGAACTGCTGTGGGACATACAGTTTACCATACCAGGGTGTAGTTGCAGTTCCGCAAACTAAACAAGTTACTCCCAGGTTATCAATTTTAAGGTTAAAATAGAGTAGTAGCATCTGAATACAGTCATAACATCTCTCTCCTTGGTTTTGTAAGTAGAGATTCTTTCCCTGCTTTCAGGTTTTAAGATGGCCGAGGAATTGCTATTGGATTGCTGGCAGAGGGAAATCTACATTTTTTCTGAAACACTTGAGGTTTTTGCTTGGTCCTCTGCCCTTCTCAGGCAAGACTGGGTTTTTTTCTCAGTATGCCTTGTGTCCGCAGCACCTGAGCTCTGCAGTTCTGTCATTCTAAGAGACTCTCATCTGTTCCGTGTACTGAGTTCTAAACCTCAAGCATCCAAGGGATATTCTTAGGGGGAGAAGAACAAATAATTTGTGGAGATTTTTGTTTCAGACTCTGAACCCTACTGTCACTGAGTTCCTGGTATCAAACCTGCACTTGTTTTAATCCACAAATGCAGTAGGTATCATTTACCCCAACTTGAGCAAAGCATTTTATTTATTCTTCATGGGATGTTATGGAGAAAGAAGTGGGGATTACTAAAGAAAATCTAAGGTAACTGAGAGCAGTGGCAGCTCTGTCTCTTTTTAGCTGTTGTAGGTTCCCCTCTGCACTTTGAGGTCTGTGGCACGTGGGCCACGTAGTTCCTTTTCTGTGGTTGTAACGTTGGTCTTAGTGCTGGCTGGGATTAATTGGAGGAATTTCTTCTATAAAATAATTGCCAATTGTTTTGAAACATCATTAACATCATGGGGAAAAGGTGACTGAATATATGTTAAACTTGAAATTAGAGGTTTTAATTGTCAGAAAAGCAAAATTCCTCCAAATCAAGGAAGGGAAACAACATTTCATTTTTGAAATTGTACCTTTATGGGTTCTGAAAAGCATTGCCTAATACAGTCCTGTTACCTGGACTTATTGTTGCTGCCAGCTCAGTGACCCTAGGGCCCATTGGTGCACTCCATGGAGCGCTACAGTGATTTTGATAAGATATTTTAAAGCACTTCAGGGTAAATGTCTGCACAAGCCATTTAAAGTAGAAATATGTTGAAGGCAAAACAGAATTTATGGCAATTTCAGTTTAAATAAAACAATTCATTGAGGGAATTTTATAAGGAATTTTCTCATCTTTAATAATCAATCATAAAATTTGCAAAATAAAAAGCCAAGTAGGTTACAGTTTGCCTAGTGTGAGGAGATCAGTCCAAATAGATCTGCCCTCTGATTAGGATGTGGTTATACATTGGGACAGTCAGGTCATGGTTTGTGGTTGCCTTACTGTCCTTAGCCTTAACATGTATATTGATCTGCAGTCACCCAATGTCTGAGGGTCACTTCAGAGTCAGTGGGCTTTTGGTGAGTCCACCTCCTTTTGGACATCCCTGAATTTGGCCCTAGGAGTTCCCAGGTTGTCTTCTGTATACTGATCTGGGGGTTCTTACATGTTATTATTGATAGGACTGAGATGCCAGTGGCACTGCAGCAAC